GCTGGGAAGGGAATGGAGAATTCCTGAGGGAGCTGGGAAGGGGCTCAGCCTGGAGAAAAGGAGGCTCAGGGGGGCCCTTGTGGCTCTGCACAACTCCCTGCCAGGAGGGGACAGCCGGGGGGATTTGGGATCTGCTCCCAGGGAACAGGGACAGGAGGAGAGGGAACGGCCTCAGGCTGGGCCAGGGGAGCTCAGGGTGGATTTTGGGGAATTTCCCCATGGAAAGGGTGGGCAGGGATTGGAAGTGCCCAGGGAGGGTTGGGGTTATTGAAGGTCTTTTCCAACCTCACTGATTCCATGGCTCTAAGATTGCTGCTGACATCACTAACCAGACCCCTTTCCATCCTCCCCCAGAGGTTGTGCTCAAGGATCACTTTAATTAACTGACCAAATTAATGAGAACAGCCTTCCAATTCTGCTGCCTTTAACCAGAGTGCTCCAGCCTTGTGATGGATCAGATCCAAGTGTGGATCCCAGAGCATTCCCTGTGTCCTGTGCTCCTCCATGTCCTGTGAGCCCCTGTCCTCCTGCAGCCAGGAGGGATCCAGGTGATTGCTGCCTCAGGCACTGTCCTAACAGTCCTGCAGTGCTGGGATAATGGCTGCACTCAAAGGGTTTTTGGAAGGGTGTAAGAGCCCAAAGGATGTGGACTCCAGACTGGCTCTTTAAATGCTGTTGATTGTATCTAGATGCTAATTGATTTATTATTTAAAATGCTGTTGATTTTATCTAGATGATACAGTAATTGATTTATTATTTAATATGCTGTTATTGTATCCAGAGGATTCAGCAATTCAGGGTTCTGGGTGACAGAGCCCAGCCCACACCTGTCACCTCAGCTGGGGGTTTGTCTGAAGTTCTGCTACAATGCATTCTAGACTTTCCTTTTAATAAATAACAACTAATCAATACTTTTACTATTACCTATAGCCTACCATAACTACTAACATTACCATATTCATGTTACTATGTTCCAATCACAAAAGGTCAGTATGTTACAGTTTAAAGTAGAAGTTGTTTTTTTAGTTTTTTTGCAGTGGAAATTTTTGAGATCTTATTTTCTACTTGCAACATTGGCTTTCTTGTTTGCCTGTGAAATCTTTTTTGCTTGGTAAAATCATCTTTTTTTTGAGGTGGGTTTATCCTTTGCTCTGAGTTATAAAACCTTTTCCAACACGCTTACAATTTGATTTCTAGTTATTCAGTAAGGCTGGCTCAGCAATTCTTTTCTTCTATATCAAAATTTGCTTTCGTTTTATTCCTTCCTCAGATTCTCCATGCAAAGATCTTTGTGTTACACACCCCCATCTGTGACACCTTCCTGTCAAATCCAAATCCTTCTCCTTCCCAACACGAGGGACCTTCCATCCCATCCCCACCCACTCCTGCAGGGTCTCCTCCCAGCACCCCGGGGTGCTGTTTTCCCATGCCCAGGGGTGTCTCGGGGTGGTCCCGGGTGGGGCTGGGGGCGCTCACCGTGTCTGCTGGGAGCTGTCCTGTGCGAACCTGGCCATGGCCGGGAGCAGCCGCTCAGCCACGGGCCGGGCTCCGGCCACCACCCGCTCGGGACCCAGGAGCTCCACGATGTCCCCCAGGTGCTGCGCCGTGCATCTCCGCACTGCCGAGTGCAGGTGGCTGCGGGGGGGACACCAATGAGGGCCGGGCCCTGCAGGGGCAGCTCCCAGCACTCACACAACACACCGGACTGGAAAACCTCGAAACGAGGGCTGGGGGGGGGCTCTAGGTGGCTTTTAAATGGTGGTTATTGTAACCAGAGGATGCAGAGATTTAATTATTATCAAAATGCTGTTTACTATATTCAGCTAACACAGCAATTTATTTATTTATTATTTAAAATGCTGTTTACTATATTCAGATGACACAGCAATTTATTTATTTATTATTTAAAATGCTGTTTATCGTATCCAGATGATACAGTAATTGATTAATTTATTATTTAAAATGCTGTTTATCGTATCCAGATGATACAGTAATTGATTTATTATTTAAAATGCTGTTTATTGTATCCAGAGGATTCAGCAATTCACGGGTCCTGGGTGACAGAGCCCAGCCCACACCTGTCACCTCAGCTGGGGGTTTGTCTGAAGCCACTCTAGTTCTGTTACAATGCATTCTATGCTTTTCTTTTAATAAATAACCACCAATCAATACCTTTGCTATTACCTATAGCCCATCATAACTACTAACATTTCCATATTCATGTTATTATTTTCCAATCACAAAAGGTCAGTATGTTACAGTTTAAGCTGGAAGTTCTTTTTTAGTTTTCTTGCAGTGGAAAATTTTGAGATCTTATTTTCTACTTGCAACATTGGCTTTCTTGTTTGCCTGTGAAATCTTTTTTGCTTGGTAAAAACATCTTTTGTTTGAGGTGGATTTATCCTTTACTCTGAGTTATAAAACCTTTTCCAACTCACTCACACTTTGATTTCTAGTTATCCACTAAGGGTGGCTCAGCAATTCTTTTCTTCTATATCAAAACTTGTTTTCATTTCTATTCCTTCTTCAGATTCTCCATTCAAAGATCTTTGTGTTACACACACCCATCTGTGACACCTTCCTGTCAAATCCAAATTCTTCTCCTTCCCAACACCAAACCAAGCCTTGGAACCACGGGATCCTGAGTGCTTGGCCAGAGGGGACCTCCTGTTTGACACCTTCCACTACAATTATTCTTGCTGCATACAGGCAGGGAGGTTTTAAAATTTCAGTTCTAGTCTTCCTTCAAATAATTTTATTTTCCAAAGTATATGGCTGTTCTTTTAATGAGCTCTAAGAAAAACCAGTCCCTGTGCTCAGAGACACATCCTGGGCACTTGGTATCTCTGTAAAAATGACTAAAGCAGTGTTCAATCGACTCCTGAAGATCCTGCAGGAGTCTCATGATCCCTGCTTTGTGAAAAATAAACATTTTGCTGATGCAAAGGACAGAACAGCCAGAATCAGCTTCCAAACTCGTGCAGAAATGACATTTTCATCTAAATCCTGCTGCCCCTGCTGATCCCACTTGTGTTCAGAACAAAATCCTGCCAACTCTAACCTCTTCATTTTTATATTTGGATTAAGAATGCTACTCTGAGGACAATTTGTAACTTCAGCTGCACTTTCAAGGAGAAAACAAGAATTGTGAGGCTGAGAGACTTCACTCCATGAAGCAAACAAGCCCCTGCTCAGGGGAACAGCTGGAAAATATCTGTGTGCACACAGCACCTTAAACACAATGCACACAGGTAAGAAACAGGATTTTAAAATTCCTGCAGTGAAATCACTCTCAGCTCTATCCCTGGAATCAAGCTCTTGGATCATGAATGTGCTCACAGAACCCCAGACTGGTTTGGGTTGGGAAGGAACCCTTAAAACTCATCTTGTTCCAAGCCTGCCATGGGCAGGGACACCTCCCACTGGAATTATTTTTGTTGGTAAAATCAAACCAAACTTTGGAGCTGGTGAAGAATCTACTCAGGGTTGCCAGCATTAAAATCATGATCATGGCAGGGTTGAAAGGAGCTGAGCAGAAAGCAGGTACATTTTAAGAGGTCTCATGAATTATGAGTGACAGCCTTTATTGAAGGATTATGTGGTGATGAATTTCAGCAACTCAGCCCAATTTAGAGAGAACATCCCTTGTGGAATTGCAGTTGTGTCAAACAATTCACTTCTTACTGAGACACAAATTTCTCCTTTGAAGGGTTAATTCCATATTCCAGGTCACAGCCTGTGGAGCTGGAGCTGCCCTGTGCTGACACAGCCAGGCCTAGAAAAGCTGCACCTTTAGGCCATGCCCTGATGTGTAACCCATTAAAAACATCCTGTACTCCATGGGTTAGGAAAGTCTGAGCTGTGACCAGATTAACCTGATACCTGATGCTGTATTCAGCCTCACAGCTCAATCCTGATGCCTTGAGAGAGCAGAAAACCCACACAAACTCACCAGCTGGAAGGGAAAATCCCTACAGAAAACCCCTCAGCAGGTGGCTTTGAATCTGCCAGGGATGGTGGGGAGGTGTCACAGGGACAATTCTGAGGCCAAGGAAGAACCCAAACAGGGCATTTCCCCTGAATGAAAGCTGGGGCAGTTAATGCCTGCTGCTCCCAAATTCACAAAATCACAGAACCAGCCAGGTTTGGGTTGGGAGGGACACAAATCCAGGGGCAGGGACACCTTCACTACCCCAGGCTGCTCCAAGCCCTGTCCAGGTCCTGCCCTGGGGCAGCCATCCCAAGCCAGTTTGAATCCCAGTAAATCCTAAAGAATGGAAATCCCAAGGCTGATTTTTTGGCCTTTCAGTTTAAAGAGCAGGAAATTGCAATAGAGCTGTGAGGAGACAGAATCCATGTATCCCACAATAATTAGGAAGGAGCTCAAATTAGGGATAATTTGTCACCCAAGTGTATAAACCCAACCTTATGTAGGGGACTCAGCAGCAGGACTGGGTGGTGGGTGATCAAAAACTTCAGTTTGCTTTTAATCTTTCAAAGAAAGGTTAAAGAAATTTAAGCAAACTTTAAAGGTTTTTTTTTTTTAATCTTTCAAGAAAATTTGAGCTCTCTGTGAGTGCTGTCATGTAACAAAAAAAAAAACCCCAAAACAACAAAACATCCATGTATCCCACAAGCTTCCCAGGAAACAAAAGAGAACATTTTGAATCAAAATTAACTCTGAGGATTGGAGCTGTGCAGGAAACCTGTGGAGAGATTTGGAATGGAGCACCTGAAATGTGTCATGAAGGGAAATGTGGCCTGGGAAATGTCACCAAGAGGTGGCAGGGAGCACAGGAAGCACCAGGAGCTGCACCCAGCTCAGATGTGAGCAGGGAATGAGGATGGAAAAGGAAAAGAGACTCAACAGGGCCAGGGGAAAAAGGGAATTAACTCCAGAAAAGAACAGCCACCAGCACTGAGAAGGAAATTAAAATGCAGACACAAAGGCTCAGCCTAGAGAGGAGGAGTCAAGCAAGACAGATAGAGCTAGAGAAAATTGTGTTATAAATCAGTTTTCTAAATAAAGAGGGGGGCTGAAAACTGGCCAAGGCACGAATTGACTGCAGAGCAAAGGAGGAAAAGAAAGAAAATGATGTCAGCTTTACCAGGCAAAGCAAAACAGCAGCTCCCCAAGAATACACAGGAACAGCAAATAAAATCATTGCAGTGGTGCAAAACAGCCAGAAAATACACCAAGCTCCCAGATTAACAGCCAACCTCTAACACAAGGCACAGGAAGGAACAGAGGGGCTTTAATTCAATTTATGCCAACAAACATTGCCCTGGGGAGAGGTTTAGCACAGCTGATTTACTGGACTTTCAAATTTCTGTCTACTGTACTAGGATTTGATGTTAAAAAAAACCCCCTCTATTTGATAAATTGCCTCTATTCACAATATTCTTGATAAAGTCTTTATAGCAATTACCTTTGCCCTCCATTTATAAGAGAACAAAGTGCACGTGCTGGAGTCACATTATTAACCATGGCCTTCAGTGCCTTGTCTACCTCTTCCCTTATAAAAGTGTTGGATTCCCCAGCTTTGTGCAAAAGGACTTTTACTGCATTATCTAGTTCTTGATCCATGCTCTTTTTCAGGTGGGTGAACAAATCCCCTAAACAGACCACAGCAGCTCGAGAAACACCTGAGCGTAAATTCTTGACCTGCACACAGGAAAAACCCAAAAAACAATGAATAATGTTTATCAGAGAGACTTGAAAAAGAAATATATTCATGTTTGCCCTTTGTCATTTTTAAGTAACATTACAAGCAACCGAGAAAACACATTTCTAACTTGATTGACAACGGGTGAGAATTAAAAGATATCATTATTAAATTAAAAATCGATATTTGCTCAGCTTCTGAGTCTCAAATCATCCTTGAGACTGCCCAGTTGAGAAAAACTCACCAGAGGTGAGCATCAATCACTTGAGAGAGCTCTAAAAATACAAAATATACACACAGAGAGCCAGTGGAATATTGTGATAGGAAAAATGGAACCTCTTGAGCCACAGCCAGAGTTGTTTCATGGAGTTTTGCAGTCAGAACAGGGGCGTGGTAAGCAGACAAACACCTGATAAAATTCAGACCTTCGATTTTCTTCTCCCTGTGTGAAAGAAATAATATTTCCATTCGTCTCACCCAATTCCATCCACCTGCAAAGTTGCATTCAAATAATCAAATGTGGAATTCCAAAGAATCAAACAGATAACAAATTAGATGGGAAAAGAAAGAAATGAGAAATAATCCCAGAAGGTTTGGGTTCAAAAGGATCTTAAATCCCATCTTTAATGTTACAGCTCCTTTTTATAGAGATTTCTAAGACTTTCATTGCTTCAGAACTTTCTTGCCATTCAATTCATTGCTTAGTAAATGGCATTTTACCTGTTTATCAAATTATCTATCATTTTTTTTCTATTTTTGGACAGTTCACATATTTTTTTTCTTGGATTCTCATAAGAATTGGCATTTTCCATATCTATCAATTTTTTTTATTTTTGAACAGTTTACATGATTTTTTCTTGGATTCTCATGGGAAATGGCAATTTACCTATGTATCAGATTATCTATTACTTGTCTGTCAAATTTTTTCTGTTTTTGGATAGTTTACCTATTTTTTTCTTGGATTCTCATAGGAAATGACATTTTACCTATGTATCAAATTATCTGTTACCTGTCTATCAATTTTTTTCTATTTTTGGACAGTTTACATATTTTTTTTCTTGGATTCTCATAGGAATTAGCATTTTCCATATCTATCAAATTTTTTTATTTTTGGACAGTTTACATAATTTTTTCTTGGATTCTCATAGGGAATGGCATTTTACCTGTCTATCAAATTATCAATTACTTGTCTGTTAGTTCTTTCTATTTTTGGATAGTTCACATATTTTTTTCTTGGATTCTCATGGGAAATGGCAATTTACATGTCTATTAAATTTTTCAATTTTTGGATAGTTTATATGATTTTTTCATGGATTCTCATGGGAAATGGTATTTTACCTGTCTATCAAATTATCTATTACCTGTCTATCATTTTTTTCTATTTTTGGACAGTTCACATATTTTTTTCTTGGATTCTCATAGGAAATGACATTTTACCTATGTATCAAATTATCTATTATCTGTCTATCAATTTTTTTTTCTATTTTTGGACAGTTTACATATTTTTCTCATGGATTCTCATGGGAAATGGCATTTTACCTCTCTATCAAATTTTTCAATTTTTGGATAGCTTACATTTCTTTTTCATGGATTCTCATAGGAAATGACACTTTACCTATCTATCAAATTGTCTGTTACCTATAAATTTGTTCTATTTTTGGACAGTTTTCCTATGTTTTTCTTGGATTCTCATGGGAAATGGCATTTTATCAGTTTATCAATTTTTTCTTACATATTTTTCCCATGGATTCTCATGGGACAAACTTTTTGTTATTACAGGTGCATCTTATCTTCTCTACAAGAATAAGAGTTTCTTATGCAAACTCTCCTGATTTTTTCACAGGAGAACTTACAAGCTGTTAGCTCGAGTAGCAGTGCCCAAACCATATTTTATAAAGCCTTTACAATAAAAATATAATAATAGAATATTTTTAAACATCGAATTTTTAAGCTTTTATCATACCTCTACCTGTCTGCAAGCACATGAGTGTCAGAGGCAAAATGAGGGATGTGGGGCTTCAGGTGGCTCTTTAAAATGCTGATGATTGTATTGAGATGATACAGTGATTTATTTATTATTTAAAATGCTGTTTATTGTATCGAGATGATACAGTAATTGATTTATTATTTAAAATGCTGTTTATTGTATCCAGAGGATTCAGCAATTCAGGGTCCTGGGTGACAAGAGCCCAGCCCACACCTGTCACCTCAGCTGGGGGTTTGTCTGAAGCCACTCTAGTTCTGTTACAATGCATTCTAGACTTTTCTTTTAATAAATAACAACCAATCAATACCTTCACTATCACCTATAGCCCATCATAACTACTAACATTACCATATCCATGTTATTGTTTTCCAATCACAAAAGGTCAGTGTGTTGCAGTTTAAGCTGGAAGTTGTTTTTCAGTTTTCTTCCAGTGGAAAATTCTGAGATCTTATTTTCTACTTGCAACATTGACTTTCTTGTTTGTAAAAATCTTTTTGCTGGGTAAAAACATCTTTTGTTTGAGGTGGGTTTATCCTTTTCTCAGAGTTATAAAAACCCCTTCCAACTCACATACTAAAACAACCTTTGCCTTCTTAATTATCCACTCAGACTGGCCCAGCAATTCTTTTCTTCTATATCAAAACTTTTTCTATTTCTATTCCTTCCTCAGATTGTCCATTCAAAGATCTTTGTGTTGCACACACCCATCTGGGAGATTTTTCTCTCACACCTTTGTCCCTCCCAGCCCATTTTGAGGTGTCCCAGAGCTCAGTGTCCCTGCACTCACCAGTCGTGGTCAGCCAGCAGTGCCAGCGCCTCTGCCAGTGCTGAGTCAGGCCTGGGGAAAGGCTGCAGATCTCCAGGGTCCAGCACCTCGGGGCTCTGTGTCACCTCTGGGGACAGGGACACAACATCAGCACCTCTGCCAGCTCACCCAGCCCCAGCAGGGACAGGGCATCAGCACAGGGCACTGCTAAACACACACAGGGCCAGTGGTGCATTTCAGAAACTTGGGGATTTTGGGTTTTCTGGCACTGCCCCCCTGCAGAACACTGCTTTGGAGCTGAGCCCTTGGACAAGGCTCCAAATGTGGGGGATGGAGTTAAAATCACGGGTGTGCAGTGAAATAGAAGTGTGTGATTGCACACGGGGAAGGGTTTGGGATTTGGGGTTTTATAATATAGGAATGGGGGTGGGACAAGATGGAGGATTTGGGGTGGTGTCTCTTTCTGGGCTCATCTTCCTTCTTCTCCAGGGTTTCAGGCAGCAGTTTCTGGTTGGTCACTCAGTGTCACACTGAGGGTCATGGGAATTTAATTATTGGGTCAAAAGTATCAATAATATCGGTGTTAATTCTCTGTTGGACTGTTCAGCTTTAAAACACCTTGTAACCAGCTGGATCCATCTCCATTCTGCTCACTTTTAGCTGGAAGTGTTACAGAATTCTCTGTGCTTTAAATAAAATTTAATAAACAATCAAGCCCAAACATGAGAAAATTCATCTCCTTCGTGTTTTTAATCCTGGTTCTGAGTGAAAACAAAAAACTACAAACAAGCCACTAATTAAGTGGTGCAAACACCACATTTACACCCAGAGTGGTTTGGGTTGGAAGGGTCTTCAATCCCATCCCATCCAAAATACAAAATTTAGATCATAGAGTAACTTATTCATAAATGTCTTCTGAAGTTAGCAAGATAGAACAGATTTAAAGGTGAAAAACTTTCACTTTTAAGAGTCACAAACATAAAGGCAGGGGTTGTTTAATGGAAAAGTAGATGCACAGTGTGCTATTATCATAATAAATCTTGAAGAGACACTTGAGAAATCCTGGCCACCTTTGAGCACCTCTTCTACTCATAACATTTTTTTACTGCTTATTTTAAAGGCAATTCAGTGTCAAAATGTAAGAAAAGGGGTTGTGGGGACAGGAGGGAGTCACTTTGCTATTAATGCATTGTATCATTTCAAACTAAAACCCTCTGAAGTTTCAGGAATCTTCCTAACAGATTCTAGATGAAAAATGATCAACTGAATACTCAATAAGGAATTAAATCCCCTCCAACTCCCCCCCTCTTCCAGAGCACCTCAGGACTGCACACTGCACAAATAAATTGTATTTTGAAACTGTCCCACTGCACCCACCCAAATATTTTAAGGGTTTACTGTCCCAGCTTACCAGAATCTAACAAGGATGGACACTTTGACCTCTTCAAACTGGATGTTCTTTTCAGAGAAGGGTTCAAGGCCACGTTTTCTAAGGACAAAGATCCATTTCTTGGTGATGTCAATAAATCCCCACAGAGATTAAACCCTAGGAAAGAAGGAAATGTCCAAACTGCAGTAAAACCAATCAGGACCAAGTTAAACCCAGTGTTCCCAGCCCTGAATTCCATTCAGCAGCACTGAACAGGGAATGTCCATCCTCATCCTCACTTTCTGCTGTGAGTTTCTCTGGTTCACTCATACTCAGTCTAATCCTTTCCCAAGGGAATTCTTCCTTCCCTCCCAAGGTTTTGCTTTCCTGCTGCTCTTTATGGTTTTGTTCTTTGTCTTCTTTCCTTTTCCTCCTCAGCTTCTCCTGAGCAGATTTTGACAAGGTCACTTTTATCTGCAAAAAAAAATTCATGTATAAGTTACCCCAGAATTGATTCCTCAGTTCCTGATGCTGGCCAAGGTCAGCATGGAAAATCAGGATTTTCTCTCATCTGACCCTTCACTCTCATGTGTTTATGACACTTTTTGTGCCTCAGGAAAATTCAGCAAATAAATTTGATCCAGTTAAATTTAAATTCAGTTTAACAAACTGAATCCATTTACTCCTTTGAATTTGATCCCACAAAGGGTTCACATCTTCAGTGGAAATCAGAAAGTTAAGACACTGTAAATCATTAACTTCAAGTTTTAATGTTCTTCAAATGTTATTGTAAAGGCTTGCAGAAAGAGTTTTTATTCCATGTTTTTTACTTTGTATCCCACTTCACTCAGATAAATCTGGCTCCATTTACATTTGTAAATAGTTTTTAACAAACAGCAGCACTCCTCAGAAACCACATGATGGGCAAATATTCAGGAAGGCTTCTAAGAACAACTTCTGATTGGAGCTGGATTAATTGAACCCTGAGGAAAACAAGATCTGATCCAAGCCAGCCAATCCCTCCTTCCACATCTGCACGGGCTGTGGGAATCAGGGAGGGCATTTCCCAGCTCCACTCCTTCCTTCTGCAGGGATTTCTGCTCTGTGGGATGTGAGGATTAGGAAAACCTCCAGGTGCCTCTTGGGCATCCACACTGCTGGCTTATGTTCTTCTTTAAAAAGCCAAGCAGGTTCATAGCTGCTATAAAGTTATTTATTGCAGAAGCACATCGGTCTCAAAGGCAAAAACAAAGCAATGGTCAAAGCAATGGCAAAGCTGCAGTGGCAAAATGCACATGGATAAAGCCATGGCATGGAGCCCCAGCTCTCCCTAATTAATGTTCTTTTATAGAAACTTTCCAACTAGCTAAGACACAAACTCAGACCACTACTCCTTAACCTATCAGAATTCTGATTTTTTAGCACTCCAAGCTATGTATAGACTATGTACATGGCCTGTCTTGTTCTAACTGAAAAATGTCAGCAATATTCTTAACTCTATTATGTCTGAAGCCAGTTTCTTGGAGCCTCTAAGGAAACACTGGGATGTTTTTTAACTTTTACTAAAACATGTCCTACTTCTCAGGCATCTAAGACTTTTACTCACTAAAAGCACTTAAAACTTATTCCATTTCCTTACTTACTTATTCACTGCATCTATTCACTTACTCATTCCATTCAAAGACTTTGATTCAATCCCTGCACTCTGATTTCTCTCTGAAGAAATCAGACAGGCTCCTGACTGACTGACTGCAACACTGGGAGGCTCCTGGCACATCCATTTGCACCAAAAGGAAAATCAGGAGCAGCAGCAGCAGCTTTGGCTGTTGCAATCAAACTCCTGTGAGTGAGCAGGGCTGGGCTCACTCCACAGCAGCAGGGTGAGAAGGCAGCAGGCTGTGCAGTCCTTACCTGTCCTTCACTCCCTGCATGGCACTGGGAATGGCAAGTGCTGCTTTGCTGGAAGCTTCTCCCTGGGGCTGGCTCTGCTCCCTCCCTGGCAGCCTGGGCATCCCCATTGGCCACACAGGGCATGGAGTGGCTGGGAGCTGGGGCAGGAGGGCTCCCAAAAACACCTGGAGGGCAGAACATGGGGTCACAGACTGGTTTGGGATGGAAAGGACATCAAAGCATCTCATTCCAGGGATGCCACGACTGGAATTGTCTATCCAGGAACTGCAACACTGTAAAGCATAATGGTTTGTATTCCCATTAACCTGGGGATTGTGAACAATCTGAAACATTGTACAACTCTGTTTGTTCTTTTCCCACTCCACAAAGGCACATTTCCCCTCATTTCATAACTCAAAGGGACTCAGGGGATGATTTTGGGTCTGCAGTACCTTTGCCAACAACAACAACGTCTTCAGATGTGAGACCCAGATCATTCCTCGGTGCAAACCCAGGCAGTGACTCTGCAGGGCCTGGAAGCACAAAGAGCACTCAGTGTAAATCATCCTGGTCATGCTTTGGGATGTGTTTCATCCTCCTAAAATGTCACCCCACATCTGAACTGATCCCTGTCCTGAACCAGGGTATTGTCAGGTCACTGAAGCCAGCAGGATGTGCTGAATACCCGTGTGGAGGATGTGCACATCCCACTGACACGAGCCTGGAGCCAGGCTGGGAGAGTGGGAATGTTCATCTGGACAGGAGAATGATCCAGGGACAGCTCAGAGCCCCTTCCAGGACCTGAAGGGGCTCCAGGAGAGGGACTGGGGACAAGGCATGGAAGGACAGCCTGTGGACACAGCTCCCTCTGCTCCTTTCCTCCTTCCAGCAGAACCAAAACTGATCAAACACAAATCACCCCACACAGTTGGTCCCTGCCCATTTCAGGGACCTGTACTGCCCTGGGAGGGTAAAACACACCAGCAGCACAACCCCAATTCCCACAGGAATGAGCTGCTTGGAACTCCTCACCTGAGCACCCTCAAATCCCAGTCTGGCCCCAGAAGTTCCCTTTGTTAAGGGCTCAGTGCCCAAGTGAGAAAAGCCACCCCAAGGGGCACTCTGGTCCCTCAGGTGAGTGGTGACAGGAACATACCTGTGCTGGGGTGATGCTCTGCCCCCTCTGTGTCTCTGAGCCTTGCTGCAGGTACTTTTGCAGGGTGGGATTTGCTGCCCAGTGCTGGAAAAGTGTCTGACCTGTTCACATAAACACATTTTATAGGTGCAATTCTCCACAAAGTCCAGCCAAAAACAACAACAGAGTTCAGTTTCTCCAAGGTAAAACTCTCTCCAGTATTCTCACAAATGTTCACACTGAGCAGAAAGAGAATTCAGTGGGAATTATTTTATGAGCAGGGCCATTATGAAGAACATCCTGATGAGGAAACCTGACACTAGGACTAAATTTAGGATTCACCCATAAAGAAAGGAATTGTTTGGCCTGGGGATTGATGATGCTGGCTCCAACCTGGCCAAGGAGAGTCACCAAATCCTCCTGCCACTTCCAGGCATGAGCTGTTCCCAGCTCAGTGTCCAGCACAGACACTCACCAGGAAAATGCTCTTATCTACAAGAACAACTTCTAAATTATTTGAAATTTCAAATGATTCCCTGGATATGAACCCAGTGCAATACTCACACCTAAAGATTCTTTTAAGCTCTAGGAATGTCCCTAATTCCTGTGTCCAGCTGCCATCCCCCATGGCAGTTTATCAGCAGATAACTCAAACACACCAAACCCCCATTCCTGCAGTCACAGATTTTGAGAACAGCCAATGCCAGTTTGTGCCAGTGCTCACAAACCCCCTGAGCTGAAGTCCTGGCATTTTTCTGACATTCCAAGGTTTTCATTGTCACCTGGGATGGACTCTGTCACTGCTCCCAGTTCAGGGTGACTGCCACATGTCCCCTCTCTCCCTGGCTGGTTCAGAGCTGCTCTGGCTGAGGATCCAGTGGAATATCAAGCACTGGATAATGGACATGGCTTAGCCCAAACCAGCACACCCAGGCCTCCACAGCCTTGACTTCTGAAGGATTCCAGCATTTGGATGTGAGATTTTAAAGATTATTTTTAAAAAATGTGATTCAGCAGCAATGCACAAGGGGAAGGGATGTGAATATAAATCAATTCTGGGCTGCACAACTGAAAACTTTCTGTTTGTGAATCACTCCAGGCTCCTGCCTCAAACCCCTTTCCTTTTCATGTTCCCTGTTTTGCCCTCTGCTGTTCCTGCAGTTCTGTGTCAGTTATATGGAAGGTTTCCTGCTCATGACAGGCTTGGAATCAGGTGAGTTTTCAGTCCCTTCCAACCCAAACCACTCTGGGATTCTGTGAGTCTGTAAAAGATGCTTTTACTACACACAAAAATATCTTCAGAGCAGAGCTACAAAGAGCTTCATTATGAGCTCTGAGAGCAGAGAAGGAGATTTTGGGCTGGAAAATTTGCAAAATTCCTCAAAACTCGTTTTATTTCAATAAACAATAGTTTATACTGCTCATAACCAACTGCCTTGTTGTCCTTTACAATCAGAGCAGCATTTGTCACCACACAATTTCTATTCAGAAGAGGTCTGGGAAGGCATTTTAAATTCACAATTATCTCTCAGGATTAAATGGAACCAGCTCTTGATCCACAATAAGAAACATCTGCATTGTTTTCTTCTTCTCAACAAACCCAATTCCATTTCCAGGCTGTAATCCTGTAATCCAGCCTTATCCTTCCTCTTCACTCTTGTCCTTCTCACTCCCCAGCTCAGCTCTGCTCACGTTCCTGCTGTGCCAAGGAAAAGTTTTTTATCAAATATTTATTTACTGCTCCTGGCACTGCCTCCCTGCCCTGTTTTACAGCAGCTTCATGTTAAAAGTCAGAAAAAAAAAATAGAATAATGTCATTAAGCAGCTCTTGTCTTTTTTGAGAGGAACATAAAAACCAGGCTATTAAGCAAAGCAATCCCATATCAAATAAGCAGCAGCGAATATCAGGATGTCAGCAAGGCTGGGCGGGGATTTGCAGGCTGAGGTGACAGCAGTGACACTCACATCCCTCTGCTCCTGGGGGGCAGCGTGGCCCCGGGCGAGCCCGGCCATTCCTGGCTGCAAATTCCGCTCTCGGTGGAGGCGGTGCCGGGGGAGGAGCCCTGAGAGGGGCAATCCCCGCAAAATTCCAATTTCACCGCCGAGTCCGGGCTCTCCAGGTCGGCGATGTTGCTGCTCAGCTTCGCCCTTTTCTTGGCCGCGCTGTTCCGCAGGGACCTCAGGGAATTCTGCATCTGGACAGAGGGGGAGAACGACAGGGAGCACTCAGTGCAGAGGGAAAAAGGGTTTTTTTTCAGCTAAATAAAATCGATTTGTGAATGTTCAGCTCAGTCCAGGGGGTGCACAGGGCAGTGTGATCATCACTCACACGGTTTGGGTGGGATTGTGATGATCCCTGACAGGAATATCTAATTTATCTTTCCAAACGAGCTGTGAATCTGCTGGTGGATAAAACCAGCACTGAGAGATCAAAGAAACAATGGGATGGATTCCACTGATGGATGAATGAGAAAAAAAAAGAGATTTCCCTTTACAAACAAACTGCAGGTTTGCTGATCAATGGAATTGGATATTGAAAGATGAAAGAAGCAATGGGGGAAAACCATGAATTCCATAAGAATTAAAAATGCAAAGGGAGGGTTGTACATCAGAGGGGAATCTCAGGGATCAGGGTTTGGGAAGTCTGTGCCTCTCAGGTACCTCAGCCCATGGGGAAAGAGAGAGGGAAATGTGGATGGGAAATTCTCCTCTTTTTGCTGAATATTTCTCACATTAGAAATTCTTCCTCTGTTTAACACCCCAAGTTCCTTTTAGTGGGAACAGAGGATGGAAGGCACAGACAAAACAGCAAAGCCAGGCAGTCACAGAATCCCTGACTGGTTTGGGATGGAAGGGAAGCTGGAAGTTTTCCTTGTTCCATGGGCAGGGCCACCCTCCACCACCCCAGGGTGCTCCAAACCCCACCCAGCCCCGAAGCTTCCAGGGATGGGGAACATTGGTAAAATGTTAAATACTGGTAAAACGTTAAACACTGGTAAAATGTTAAACACTGGTAAAATGTTAAATACTGGTAAAATGTTAAATACTGGTAAATTGTTGAACATTGGTAAAATGTTAAACTCTGGTAAAGGTGTTCAACACTGGTAAAGGTGTTAAACTCTGCTGAAAGTGTTAAACATGGGTAAGAGTGTTAATGATAAAAGTGTTCAACACTGATAAAATGCTAAACACTGGTAAAGGTATTCAACACTGGTAAAAGTGTTAAACATTGGTAAGAGTGTTAAACTCTGCTAAAAGTGTTAAACACTGGTAAAAGTATTGAAGATTGGTAAAGGTGCTAAATAATGGTAAAAGTGTTAAACACTGGTAAGAGTGTTAAACTGCTAAAAATGTTAAATTCTGGTAAAGGTGTTAAACATGGGTAAGAGTGTAAAACACTGGTAAAATGATAAACTCTGATAAAAGTGTTCGACACTGCTGAAATGTTCAGCACTGCTAAAAGTGCATTTATCCCACGTCCCCACCTCTTCCTGGTCCTCAGGCTCCAGGTGCAGCTGGGCCAGCCCCGCTGCCAGCTCTGTGCCCTCCCTGGTGCCAGGGGGCTCCCGGGGGCTGGGCAGCCGAGGGATGGGGGGCA